CAGGGGATTTTGAGAATTGTAATCCACAAAAGGAGCTTTTGTGGCATTCATATCTGGTTAGGATAATTTGCTCAGGTTATTTCTTTGAACCCAAAATTTATTTCAGCTGCATCAAACACATTGAGGTTTTATGTTCAAAACATTTCCAGAGACAAAATGAATTTTATCCCTCTAGATTACAGGACGCCATTGATTACCTCAGCGCTCAGATCTCATCCACACGGAACTGGGTGGAACAGGAGCACAAGCGGTTTGAGAAAATGTTTATGGACAAGATCGATCAACTGTCCCTGGGCATTAAGGAAAAAAGTGTATGTTTCCTGTTTTCCTATCGACCCTGAAAAGCTATCTTATAGCTCCAGATATATTTATATACAAGCAGTCTCTGAGAAGAACTTCTTATCCCCCTACCCCATCCTACCTCCATGTTTTACTATAGTCCCTGGAAATAACATGGAAAGGAGAAGCCTGGAAGTCACCAGACTCTTGAGCAGGCACAACCTGAGGGCCAAATTCAATTGCCAAAAAGGTCTTGGGGGCCACATTCCATGGCTGGGAAGGGCCAAAAGCAATAAGGATGGAGCTAAAATACCAGCATCTTTGAGCTTTACAAAGCTTTAGGTTAGGAGGTGGCATTTCAATCTTTTTCATGCAGAACTCTGATAGGAAATGGAGTCTGGCCAACTAAAGAACCCTAGGTCTAGATCTGCCAAATACCCTCATCATAAAGGGAAGCTACAGTTTCTCATGATGTCTGAACTGAGATTCTGTTGGCCTTCATGATTCCTAAGGTCAATCATTTCTCCTTGCTCTGTGGGTAGGGCTACCTCCTTATTGTGCCTGAAAATATTACCAAGGGCCTTAAAGAAACACACAGGCCTCCTTTGGTCAGGTGTCCCATGAGGGTTCCACCTCCTGAGTGACTTGCCTTAGCTATGAGCTAGGATGTGGTTTGTCTCTTCGCAAGTCTTCCATATATTTGTTTGACTGACCTCCCCAGGAAATGGATGGCAGAGCCTTAGAGGTGCAGTTTGGCGAGATCCATGGCAAACTTGACAAAATGGAAGATATGCAAAAGATGGCTGCAGAAGAACACGGGGCCAAGCAGGCCGAAGACCGGTTCGACATCCAGCTGACCAAGCTTCAGATGAGTATTAATGAAGATATAAAAGAAGTGAAAGGTGAAGTTAATGCTGGTAAGAGTAAAACACTTGTCTTCTTCTTGAGCAGTATAATCGTCAGCAACTGGTATTACAGGGATGTGGAGGGGTTGGGAGTTGCCATTTGTAGTGCTGGTAAAGCATTTGGCTGTAGCTTGGTAGACTGTCCATAGGTGTATCTGCACTATAGAAATAGTGCAGTTTGACACTACTTTAAGTGCTGAAGCTCCATCCTATAGAATCCTGTGATTTGTAGATTTATAAGGTCTTTAGTCTTTTCTGTCAGAGTGCTGGTGCCTCACAAAACTACAAAGTAAGGAACGTTGAGTTATGAACTTTGAATTTGCTAGAGCGCTATAATGATACTGTTCAGGATAGTGAACTACAGGTCCCCAACTGAGAATTCTAAGTTCCTTCCCATACCACAAATCCCAGGATTCCCAAGGCCAGGTCCCTTACAGTGGTATCAGACTCCTATACCTGTGCAAAGTGAACCCATACTTGACTGAATAAGAAGCTTTCAGTCATGGCTTATTTTTAAGAACAAATGGCCAAACCAATGATAATTCTTCCTTTGTTTAGGATTTGCCACCATCTATGAGAGCATTGGGTCACTGAGGGAGGCTCTGGAAGCAAAAATGAAGCTGGATAAGGAAGAGCTGCAGAATCAGATTCAGCAGATGAAGTGAAGCATGAGAGGGATACTTGGTTGAGATTTTGGAACCAAAACTCTGAACAGCTGGAAGGATGCTGAGGTAGATCCAGGAAGTCTACCTGAAAAATGTTCCAGGTTGTCTTGTAAACAAAAATGCATGGACTGAACAGCATGCTTCAGAATGATTCATGAAGCTGGACAGTGACTTACTGTAAATATTAAACCTTGCAATTGGGAGGAATCTTTTTCAAGAAAGAGCTGCAGGAGCCACAGCTCTGGAATTCAGATCAAAACTCCATCGACCTCAGAAGATTTGCCTCATGTGATTTAGGCCACAATTATTATTATTATTATTTGCTAAAGCTGCTGAATACTGTGAGCAGCACAGCCAGATATCGCAACATGATTCAAGATTCCACACAACCTACAAGATATTTAAAGAAGAAAATGCAAGATCTCAAATCAATCCAGCCCATCTCTGACTCCAAATCTGCACATAGTGAGACTGAAATGGTTTAAATCCATGCACTTCACCCATAACTGGTTTCTACAGTCAAGCAAAAGGGTGATGCTAATCTATAGTGTCATAAAAGTAAAAAACAAGGCTTATCCGAAGGCAAAGGAGGTAAGGTGTTAGGTATCTATCAAGCCATATATTTATAGTCTGCAGCAAAAGGCCCATGCAGAGCTTGGAAAATTTACATTTTTGGACTACAATTCCCAGAATTCTCCAGCTGTGCCACTGATGTGGGAAACACCAGCTGCCACTAGTTGTCATGTAATCATACTATCCTTTGCTGAGAAACCTTAGAATTCCTTAAGTTTTAAAGTATATATGGACACTATCTGTTCTTCACTGATAGATAGGCAGGAAGGCAGATATGAAAAAGGCAGAAAGGCTGGGGCCCAATATATCAGCTCATTTGTGTTTTAAAACTCTCACTGCCAGTAACTACTCTTAGGAGTGGCATTTTGCCCTTATAAAATTGGGGTGGAGCCTGTACAAAAGCTGAGAAGCCCTCTTCCCCACGATACCATAGTTTGGTTGATTAGCCCTTTGGGGAAGGCAAGGAAGACTGGATTCAGCCCCAGGACCTACTTAAAGTTCCCCACCTCCTCCACTCCATGGTTCATTGCTTCAGATTCTCCAAAGCCCCTCATCTTAGTATCTGGGCTCTAACCCAAGAGCTGCCTGCTCTCATTTATTTGGAACTAATCCAGCAAAGGCAAATAAAGAGGCATTACTATAGCCATAGTTAACAAACTGCTGGAAAAATCTCAACCTGAACACCGTGATTATTAAAATGCCAAGGCTACAACCTAGCAGAGATTTACGTGTCATCTTAGTTCTTCAGTGGGAAAGTGAAGCACATGAGTAAACACTTTCCTGTCAGAAGAATCAGTGAAGCTTAACGTGGCCAGATTGTGACCCTGTTTTATTCATTAACTGAGACATTCAGCAGAAACTTCTTCCACTGCCTTCAATAGGAGCAGCAAGGGACTGTGTACAGATGTTTTAGCCAGTAGGTATTTCAAATAAATGACATCCTTCATTTCACATTATCTTCATCTTTGTACAGGACATCACATCTTATCGAAACTCATTTCATTTTCATAACCTTAGAGCTGTCGTGTTTGGCTAGTTTATTTATTATCAATACAGATTTCTCAACTGTGCTTTAATGACATCTAGTTTCTGTACAAACCACTATCTCTAACTTTAAAGTCTCACACTGAAACCATGATTTTAAAGGACTAGATAAAGCCACTCTATTTGCACTGCACTAACACTTCCTTCAGTCACTGTAATTCCGTACAAGCACTGTGGAGATAAGTGAGTGAACACTAATTCAGGGTTAATTCTGCCCTCACCTTTTTTGTTTTTTTAATTTCAGTAACGTGCCACCTCTCAGGATGTCTAAAGTGAGCCTTGAAAAGGAGACAGCTTCTTTGTGTGGCAGAGACAACAAGCCCACATTCCTGGGGGAAACTCACAGCAAACTGTGCTCAAAAATATCCCTCCATTTCCCACATGGAGTATTTTGCAGACTCAATCTTTATACCATAACCTCAAAGTGTCCCTATTTGGCAGCTGTGGGTGTTCCACAGCCTGGAAGCATCCACCAAAAAGGCCCTGTCTTGCATCCCCACCTGACATGCCTGTGAGGGTGGCAGGATGGAAAAAAGGGCCTCTTCCAAATATCAGGGCCAGGCAGGTGTATATGGAAGACCTAAGCTTTATAGGGCTACAGTGGCCCACCTTTGCCTTATACAGAGCTCTATACAGATGGTTACTCACCAAGCAGTGGACAAAGCCACACAGCTGTGAATGGTCACAGTGGAAGTCTGGTCCACTCTTCCTTCTGGTCCTGCTCCTTGCTTCCTTCTGTCACAGGCAGAGCACCACTGGCTGGCCTCTTGACGCCATTTCATCCTTGGACTGAAGCATGGAAAATGTGGTTATTCCAAATTGATGAAAAGTCATTTAAAAGAGTGACTATTCTCTGCAATAGGCTGTGTGGCTCTGAGCTCTTTTGCAAAGATCCCCCAACTTCTACTGAGTTTGGGAAATGAGAAACCCTCCAAAGATTGACTGTTGCCAGTCTGTCTCAGTGTTTGGAGAGAAAGACACCTCCCTGTCTTTAGGCATGGCATGGGAAGAACTGTTGGAAGCCCATTTCCTGCACTCTCTCTGGAGTGCTCTAAGCCATCAAACATGGCCCAGACACAACCTACAAGCTGCCCTCTTTTTGCCCTAGCCTGGGGAGATCTCAAGGAAAGAAACCACCAGAGATCACGGCCAGGTCTGTGGGCTTTGGAGTCAGTGGCAGCTTCCTTGTCAATGGGGTGATATGAATCCACTCTGGTCTTTAGTCCCTGATTTTAAAGTGCTGTCTATCTAAAATGCTGAACACTATTCCCAACACAGGTTCAGCACCTTGGATAATGGCTTTAAAGTCTGGAAATATAACCTAGAGTGGATCCACTGCCCCACTGACATGGGACCCACCAGCGGCCACAAGCTAATGTCCCCCTTCTTCAATGGATTACCAGAGGATTGGGAATCATGTGGCCCACTGACCACACGTGGGACCACAACCCTATTTCTGTGGCTATCAGGTCCCTCTCAGTTGCACTGCTCTATCTCTGACCTAGTTTTGCTCTAGGAATGGACAAAGAAAGGAGCCAGTGTGGTGCAGTGGTTTGAATATTGGACTAGAATCTGTGAGACCAGGGTTCCAATCCCTGTTCAGCCATGGGAATCTACTGGGTGACCTTGGGCAAGTCCCACTCTCTCAGCCTCAAGGGCAGGCAATGGTGGCAAGCCACTTCAGAAGAAATCTAGCCAAGAAAACTCTAGTAGAGAGTCGACTTGAAGACACATAACAAACAATGGAGAAAGAAATGAGCTAAGCATATATTCTCCACCCTCCTTTGCACAATCAATAAAGTTACCAAGCTATAGAATTTACCCACCAGCTGATTTCTATTGGCCTGAAAGAGCATCCTACATTATTAAGTTAAGAGCCTATGTGGTCAGTTAGAATTTAAAAGGCAGCTAAATTTGTTCTGTTTACACAGAAATGATCACAAAGAAGGAGCATTTCCACATATTTCCTAAATATGATTTTGAGAGACAACAAAATATTTATGTATTTTAGCTAGTAAGAAAATACATAGCCATAAAGACTTAAAAAACCTTTAGAATATTTTAAAGTTACAATTTATTGTTACTAAAAAATCTATTACAGAGAGAGGACATATGGGAGGGGGAGAAAATGTTTATACATTTAAATGAATAATGTTTTCTGTAAAGCTCTGAAGTATGTACAACATAAGAAATGTTAGTTGATCACTTGGCTTTTGCTTTTTTGAAATAATATAATTTTAAAAAAAATTGAAATCCAAATAAAAATTGGCATTTTCATGATGCACATTGCTTTCTGCATTTCCTTTTTTATGGCTAAATTAATAATGGTTTGTGTCAAAACACCACCAGTAAGTTTTGAAATGAGAGCAAGAATGGTTTAGGGGTTCAGTAGGAATTTGCAGGAAACAAAGAGTTAAGATCCCTGCCAGGTTTAAATTCCTGTTAAGCTATGGAAATCCCCAGTGGCCTTGGGCATATCACACTTTCTCAGCTTTACAGGAAGGCAATGGTAAGCCTACTGTGAATAAATCTGGCCAAGAAAACTCTATAATGGAGGCCACCATAAGTCAGACTGCTGCCACATTGCAGAATTAATGCAGTTTGACACAATTTTAACTGTCATGGCTCCATCCTACTGAACCCTGAAATTAGCAGTTTCTTGTGGTACCACAGCTCTCTGACAGAGAAGGCTAAATAGCTCTCAAAACTATAAAGCCCAGAATTTCCATAGCAGTTAAAGTGGTGTCAAACTGCATTCATTCTGAAGTGTAGATGCAGCCTCAGAATCAGTTTGAAGGCATGTAACAGCAAGAAGTTCTGGCATGGAAGGAAGGACTCTAGTGGAAAAAGACAATCAAGCAATAATTGCTGATGGCCATAGCTTGGGAAAGATACTTCTTTGGCCTCCTAATTCTAGAACTCTCTGAACTGGGGAAACATGGAGGTTGTCGTCAAAAACCAGAACTTTTCTAGGAGCTGCTGCTTTGCTACAGGCTACTTCCTATTTCTGCATTTCCAGCCCCCAGAAGTTGTATCCAGAAAGAAGTCCTTCCCTCTGTCCAGCAACCCTTTCTTTTCCTCTGGGCTTAGGACAAAGAGGCCCTCCAGATGTTGCCAGATTACAACTCCCAAAATACCTCACCGCTGGCTAAGGTTTCTGGGAGTTATAGTCCAGCAGCACTGTAGGATGGTGGGCCCCACCTCCAAAGCTGCATTCAAAGAGAAGGCCTTGTTAGGGCCTTTACAGACTGCCAGAAATAATGCAGCTTGAGACCACTTTAACTGCCCTGGCTCAGTGCTAGGGAATCATGGGAACTGTAGTTTATTGTGGCATCAGAGCTCTCTGACAGAGAAGGCCCAATGTCTCAGAAAAAACTACAATTCCTATGATTCCCTAGCACTGAGCCAGGGCAGTTGAAGTGGTCTCAAGCTGCATTATTTCTGGCAGTCTGCAAAGGCCCTTAGTCTCTTTCTGAAGAAAAAGGCATAAAAGGAACTGAGAAGCCCCTTTGAGACTAACTAGCAAGAAGACATTTATAGCATAAACTTCTTTGGACTGCAGCCTCCATGGTACCCAGAGCCAGCTTCTTGCCTTATCATCATCAGGCCACCTCTGCCGGCTCATTTTAACAGAGCTTGACTTTGTTAATGGTTCCTGAAGCACGTTAATCATTGGCAAGTAGGGCTTAAGGTTTCTTACTTTAGAAATCCTCCTGGAGCTATCGCCTTCATGCCTCCTTGCCTTAACTCTGTTTACACAGGATTTTGTGTAAGATACGTTTGGCACATAACTCCTGGAAAGTTTCTGTCATTCCTTCCTGAGTGGGATGGAGCAATCTGTAACACAAAGAAGAGGATCAATTAATCTATTGCCCCAGTAATGGAAACTCTGCTGATAGAGGCCAAAATGACTCTTTTAAAGCTGCAATCCTAAGCACACATATACACCTATGAAGGAGTGAAACCCCTTTGACTCCTTGGAGTAAACAGGATTAATATGATTTCAGAGTCAAAACGCTTTAGCTTCTCCAAGGGAATTGTTTCTTAACTCAGCCATTACTTCTTTATCCACCTTTAAATCTGAGTTAAAGACTATTTTGTTCAGGGAGGCATTCCCTGGTATTGTCTGATAGACATTTACTTGTTTTCTCACTTAGGTTTACAGTGGATGTTGTTAGTAATTGTTGTAATTGTCTTTGTTTAAACTGACTTTTATTATTTTGCTCATTGTTTTAACTTAGATTGTACGCCTCTGGCAGGTTTTATTTGTTATTTGTTTTATTCTTGATTGTCTTTTGTACAGCGCTGAGTACACTGACAGCGCTCTAGAAATAAACTTTAATAATAATAATACTAATAATAATACTAAGTCTGACATAAAATGGGATGCAGCTCAGTGAAGGGAAACATCCGTAGTGGTTTTTGCATGTTACTAGTCCACATGATATATATATATATTTGATTTGAAACTGCTTGTTTAATCTCTAATATACAGCAACTTATAATGTCCTTTCATCATCACATAATACCACTGCAGGGGAACTTGTAGGCCACTGTATATCCCAACCCCTCATATAACTAAGAGGATTAATATGAAAATAATAATAATAATAATAAGTAATAAAATTTATTTGTATCCCGCTTATTGCCAGACAATCCAAAATAAAGCAGAGGAAACTAGGTACGCTAGATCAAACTGAACTGGAGATCTGCCTCTGGACTGTGATGGTTCAAATTATACATCCCTGACTGAGAGGGAGGGGGGATTCTGGGGATTGTCATCCAAAAATGTAACCTTCCCAAAGCTCTGAGGACTGAACTTGGCCACCACTGACTGAGGGGGGATTCTGGGAGCTCCAACCCAAAACAGTAACTTTCCCAAAGCTCCCATGACTGAACTTGGGAAGTCCACTGTGTGGCAGTGACATCAACTTGGCCATCACCGTCTGAGTGGGGATTCTGGGAAGTGTAGTCCCAAAATGTAAAAAAAAAAAAAAACAACAACCAGGTCTGAGGACTGAACTTGGCCACCACTACCTGAGGGGGGATTCTGGGAGTTTCAGTCCCAAACAGCAACTTTCCCACAGCTCCCACACCTCAACTGGGGAAGTCCACTGCCTGACAGGGATGCCTCAATCTGGCTATCCTTGACTGAGGAGGGTGGATTATGGGAACTGCAGTCCAAAAGCACAACTTTCCCAAAGTAGCGAGGTTTGAACCTGACTGAGAGGAGTGGATTCTGGAAACTTCGGTCCAAAAGAAACTTAATGCAGGGGTAGGCAACCTGTCCCCTTTAAGGGCCGAAGGACTTCAGCTCCCAGAATCCCAGGAGCTATTGGCCTACATGGGACTATTGGCCACCATGGCTGAGGCTTCTGGGAGCTGAAGTCCCTCGGCCCTTAAAGGGGAAAGGTTGCCTACCCCTGACTTAATGTTTTCCCCAAACACTGATGCCTGAACTTGCCCATCCCAAACTGAGGAGAAGGAGCAGATTCTGGGAACTGCAGTCCCCTCAAAATACAACTTTCCCTCAGCTCTGAGGCCTGATCTTGGCCATCCCTCACTGAAGGGGGATTCTGGGAACTGCAGTCCCCTCAAAACACAACTTTCCCTCAGCTCTGAGGCCTGATCTTGAGAGGGATGAGTCCCTCAAGTCAAAGAAGTTACCCCCAAAAGTAACTTCTCTCCCTTCTCCCCTGCCCTGAGGGAACTCGTCGTCGTCGTCGTCGTCGTGTCTTGCCTCTGAGGTGAGAAAGCGGGGCCTGCTCCAGCCTTGCCTCAAGGCGGAGGAAAGAAAGAGGGAAAGGCGGGCGGGCTTTCCCTCCGTGGGCGCGGCCTAGTCCTCCT